AAATTGTGTTACCGGCTGGGGGCTAAGGCGGTCAACCCTAGGGAGCTCCCCGATCTCTCCGGCCTGGATTGGAGAGAGGCACTCTCCAGTTGTCTGGAGAGCTTCAGCCCGGGGTACGCCAGGCCTTCAACACTGGTCCCAGTTCCGGTGGTTCCGAGTCCGGTGGCCCGGAGGAGGAGGAGAAAGGCCTCCTCAAAGACCGTCCAGCCAGAGACCGTCCAGCCAAAGACCGTCCAGCCAAAGACCGTCCAGCCAGAGACCGTCCAGCCAGAGACCGTCCAGCCAGAGACCGTCCAGCCAGAGACCGTCCAGCCAGAGACCGTCCAGCCAGAGACCGTCCAGCCAGAGACCGTCCAGCCAGAGACCGTGCAGCCAGAGACCGTCCAGCCAGAGACCGTCCAGCCAGAGCTTCACGTCAGCCACGTCCAGCCAGAGCTTCACGTCAGCCACGCCCAGCCAGAGACTGTTCACATCACGTCTGCCCGGCCAGAGACTGTTCACGCCACGCATGCACCGCCTGAGCCCTCAGTGACCGCAACACTGGCCATTATGGCCACAGCCATGTGGTGTGTGTGGGCTGCGCACACACTTGAGCCGGTGTCCGCTGATCCTGCGCCAGAGGCCGCTGATCCTGCGCCAGAGGCCGCTGATCCTGCGCCAGGGGCCGCTGATCCTGCGCCAGGGGCCGCTGATCCTGCGCCAGGGGCCGCTGATCCTGCGCCAGGGGCCGCTGATCCTGCGCCAGGGGCCGCTGATCCTGCGCCAGGGGCCGCTGATCCTGCGCCAGGGGCCGCTGATCCTGCGCCAGGGGCCGCTGATCCTGCGCCAGGGGCCGCTGCGCCTGCGCCAGGGGCCGCTGATCCTGCGCCAGGGGCCGCTGATCCTGCGCCAGGGGCCGCTGATCCTGCGCCAGGGGCCGCTGATCCTGCGCCAGGGGCCGTTGATCCTGCGCCAGAGCCCACTGCGCCAGTCCTGTCCAGCCCAGAGTTTCCTTCGCCTCTGGTTCCGCTTAGCTCAGAGCCCTCTTCACGGCTGGTCCTGCCCAGCCTAAAGCCCTCTTCACCGCTGGTCCTGCTCCGCCTAAAGCCCTCTTCACCGCCGTGGCCGCCCGAGGGGTCTTCACCGCCAGGGCCGGATTGGGACTCATTTTCAGCCCTGGAGTTTGCCTTAGACCGGCCCACTTTAGTTCCCGTCTGACTATATTAAAATAATGTCATTGAAACCTCACTAAATAAGCCTGCAATAGTGCAGTGTTCTGTACAGCCTTGTTATTCATTGTATTTAAAAAATATATACATTTCTATTCAGCAATAGCTGTATACAGGGTTTTATAAATACAGAGTTCCGAAAAGTGATCTTGCTAGGGGGTTCGGGGGCATATGCCCACCCAGACAAGTGAAGTAGGCCTAATACAAACAGTGAAAAGTCCCAGTGCTGATTTGGGGAAATATAAACACATTCGAGGTATACAAATATATATATTTATACAATAACAATGGCAATATATTATATATGTGCTTGTGTTGTTAAATTGAGTTTATTTTTACACTGCTGATCATCATTGGCAAAGAACATATGTATGTCTGTGTTAAATAGGAATCCATTGTAATAAAGTTATTCTCATTCTGGGCACAGTAGGCCTATGCAATAGGCTAGGCTATTCCTCTGTCTGCTCTCATTTCTCATCTTCTCTCAGTCTCTTTATCTTTAGGTTACCTGTAAATCTCCCCTTCCCGAAGCTGAGTTTTGATTGATACAGTCTTCACAAACTGATTATTTCTTTCGGTCGTTAAAAACTTCTTTCGTAATTAAAACAGCTGTTTAGTTTAGCCACTTGCATCTTATCTCGTGAAGCGTCGCGTTTGGATTCGCTCGCGGCCGCGGCTCGCGCTTCTGTGAACATAAATCCCGCTTGCTTTGATCGGTCATCTCAAACATTTTGCCATTGCCGACGAGCGGTGTTTGAATACGGAAGCAGCTCAGATTATGAGGTCGGTTATCGTCGCGATATGCAAATCATTGCAGCACCAAATTAGAGTTAATATTAGGCAATTATTTCACAACGTTCATTATACACTCAGAAAAATATACACTCAGAAAGCTGTGACTGGAGCCTAAAGCATTTAACCCAGTGCCATGACAACACCGGCCCTCCTGGCCAATGAAACAGATCGGCCCACCGGGAACTCTCCCGGTGCTCCCGATTAGCCAATCCGGGCCTGTTCACCGCCGTGGCCGCCCGAGGGGTCTTCACCGCCGTGGCCGCCCGAGGGGTCTTCACCGCCGTGGCCGCCCGAGGGGTCTTCACCGCCGTGGCCGCCCGAGGGGTCTTCACCGCCGTGGCCGCCCGAGGGGTCTTCACCGCCGTGGCCGCCCGAGGGGTCTTCACCGCCGTGGCCGCCCGAGGGGTCTTCACCGCCGTGGCCGCCCGAGGGGTCGCCCGCTCCGCCCTGGTCACCCACGCTTCACGACCCATTCCCCTGCACGAACCTGGCCCTCCATCCCTCCCCCAAAGCCGCCTCCACTTCACCACCCTCATGAACTTTAGTGTATTTGTTTTGAGGGGCGTCGGGAGCCGCCCATAGGGGGGGGGCTATGTCACGGTGTGGGTTTTGTGTTTTGTTCCTTGTTCTTGTCTGTCATGTGATTCCCTGTTTGTCATGTTATCCTGCCATGTGTCTTGTTTCATGTTCCGCTGTTCCCCGTTTTGTTGATTAGTCTCCCCATGTGTTTCTGATTAACCACGCCCCCTTGTTATCTTGTTTAGCTTGTTTGTCTGTGTATTTAAACCCCTGTGTTTCAGTTGTTTGCTGTCGGTTGTTGTTGAATGTTGCTTGTAGTCTGTGTTCTGAGTACCTTGTTCTGACCTTACCCTGGATTACCTGTTTGTTGGATAATTAAAGTGCTTGCATTTGGATTCGCTCTTCATGTCATTCCTGACGATTCGTTACAATATGGATCTATGATTCCTAATTCCTTTATCTTCCTCTTGTATATTATTTTTGTGGTGCTAATAATACGTGCAATGACATGACGTGAAGAGTTAGCTGACGGCCGCTGCGCTAATATTGGTAGGGAAAAAAATCGATTCTGTTCAGTATCGAGATATTTTGCGCCATAATTTTGCGCATGCAATTATATCAATACTGTAGCGCAAAGTATTGCAATATTTAGGCTAATTATACAAATAATTATACTAATAATATATATTACCCACGGCAAAGGATCTATTATTAGGGGTGGCCCACCCCTAATAAAAGATCCATTGCACTGATCAACGGACGGATGTATTCCGTCAAAATGGCTGACACGCGGCTAGGGGTCACGTGACTGGGAGATCCCATTTGTAGAAAGACGATGTAGTCCGCGATTGTAATTGTTATGCTTGAAGTTGGCGCAAGCGTTTCTAAGACGTATGGCGACGTACACAGTGACTTAACGATGTCGTTCGTTGGGCTCTCTAGTCAGTGGAAAAACAAACAGGTTCTGAGAAGGTTCGCAAGTTGAACCAACTTTGAACCAGCACCAGTTCCGAATCAGTTCTTTTTTGGTGGAAAAGGGGTAGAAAGGGGCTTTTTTTGTGTGAAAGGGGCTCTGGAGGCTAGCTAGACCCTCCTTATCCACACACTAACCCCCCAAACCCCACCCCCAAGTCCTTCTTGTCGGTTATTGGCTAGAACAGTTTGTGATGTTTCGTGGTGCGGGTTTGCCCAGTTTGTTTTTGTTGCCGTGTGTGGAGCCTGGGGTGTCTGCAGAGACCGCGTCTTTTTACAGTGTGTTCAGGGGACAGGCAGCCAGTGGATAGTGAGGAGATGTTTGCTGTATGTGACAAAAAATGTTGTGGCCCAAAAAACGTGTGACATCGCTTAGAGCACCTTTAAAAGCTGTTCACATATTGGCAATTAAAAAAGCGATTGACAATTCTTTCATATAATAGCCTAACCTCTTTAATACACTGTAGCTAATACAAATATTGTAGATTGTTTTGTCTGCGGTTCAAAGTCAAATTGAAACCTAGAAATAAACTAAAATGGGATGGTATAAAAAAAAGGAAAAAAAAGAAAAAAATGCTGTTATTGTAAATTAGTAAGAAAAAATTATATTCGACAACACCACCGGAAGAGAGAGACAGAGAGAGTTGTGTTCATGTCTTGATAAAGATTATATATTGCATTTGTATTTGGTTGTAGATAAATACTACATGAAAAACATGTGCTGAAGATCATTTTAGAAGATTTAAAAAGAAGAAAAAGAAGATATTACAATCATGAAGACATTAGGGTCCGTGTACTTTTTCATCATTTTATTTCCTGTTTGGAATGGAATAATGAGAAATGAAAACCAGCTCTGATTGTGTCGTGCGCTGAAATGCATATTAGCAGCATTCATAACCTATGACGTGATTCTGTGTTGTGATATGCAGGCTGCTGCATGACTGTAATGACCATGTAAACATGTAAAATATCCAAGGGTTTACTCACTTTCAACTTTGAATAAAAGGAAAGCTTTAATGATAACAGATTAAACTAAAAATTATTTAGCTGTCAGTTAAATCAAAGAAAATGTTCCGTCAGAACTTGTTGATGAGAAAAATTTTCACATTTTCTGTGAACCTGCTCTCATTTATTGATATTAGGGAGAATGTATTATTATTATTCTGCCTATCATATAGATACAGCATTAGCTGGTTTGATGTTCATTTCTGAGATTTATATGGGGAATATATGAAAACGCAGTTCGGGTTTCAGGGAGTTGTTATCTTCCAATCAAATGATCATTCCTCTTGTTTCACCACATGACTGATCATACCTGATTTTCTGGTTTCATGTTGTAAGACACAGGTTTAAGACGCACTTACATTAGCCTATGAGCACCTGAATGTCAAGCGCATATGTAGGCCTACTTGTACATTTTATTTTTATTTTTCTAGCTCGTAGTTTGAATTTTTGCTCTAGTTTTTTACTTGTATGATTTCCACCCATAGTTTCCGCTAGTTTTTTACAGATTTTTGTTTGGATAAAAAAAAGGAGGCAGAGCAGATGGAAGAAGGTAAGAAGTTTAAGATGTCAAAGTGTCATTTGCTTTTGATTTTTAACCCATATAGATATACAAAAATACATTCTTTACCTATAAACTTACCTAAATGTGTCATGTATAGAATTAACTATGTCTCCGGAGCATTTATTTTAACAGGTTTTTATTTCATGAAAACTTTGCTTGGCATGTTTTAATGAAACCATATGAGCTTAAACTGAAACCAGACATGTTTAAACACGAATGGCAGTTAAAAAAAGAAAGAAAAACAACCTTGAAATTTGATTTAACTGTTTAGATGCATTTCTAAAAATTTCATTCGGACAGTTTAATGTTTAGAGCATATTTTTAAGAGTACAATTAATTTTAAACAAGAATCAAAACTCAATCAAAAAGTTAAGTTGTTTATTTTACTTCTAAAATTTACTTTTTGAATTTTGAGTGTGAATCATCCTTTTGAAACTATATTTTTCGAGACTATTTTCAGATGTTGCTTTATTAAAATAATCACAATAAAATTAAATAAAAATGATGTCATGTTTTTTTTCTGACAGAAGTAAGAGCCGTTGTTCTGGGGTGGCAGAAATCTGACAAAGCCTCAGTGATAAACAGCATTTTCGGTGGTGAAGTTGCGTCTGACAAACACTTTGTGAAGTCTGTGAGGAAAGACGGAGAAGCGAACGGACGGAGGATAACTCTGATTAACACGCCGTGCTGGTGGGAGAATTTCGGTTTGCAAGATTCCCCAGATGTCGTCAAACAGGAACTGGTTTGCAGTGTCTTCCAGTGTCCACCGGGACCTCACGTCTTCCTACTGGTCATTAATCTCAGTTTGCCGTTCACTGAAGAAAACAGACTCAGCATTGAGAAGCACTTCAGTCTGTTTGGTGAGAGGATCTGGAGACACACTATAGTGCTCTTCACACGAGCCCATTCCCTGAAGGACAAATACAGTGATCAGCGCATGAAGAATCCAGATCTGCAGAAGATCATACAGAGATGTGGAGACAAATATCATATCTTTGATTTCAAAAACAAAAGCGAAGGAGTCAAAGAACTACTTATCAAGATTAATGATGTTGTGGCAGCGAACAATGGCAAGCATTTTGAAACACATGATGACATGCTTCTAGAGATAAAGAGAAAGAGAAAAGAAAATGAAGAAAGAGCAGAAGCAAGACAAAAAAAGTTGCAGGATAAAAGAGATCTGCTGAAAGAAATGGGTAAGTATAAACCACATATATGCACACAAGTCAAAAGTTTTTCTATCTTAAGGGCTTTTAACACTGCTTAACCCCGTGTTATTGTCGTTCTAAACCCCGCTTTTAATCCTGGGTAAACACACTTCTAATTTAGCACCGCTTTTGTGCTGTTGATTGTGTTGCCAAACGTGTACAGTGTGAAATGACGTGGTGTTATAATTGTACGGCCCTTAAAATATACAGTTCACCCTAAAAAGAAAATTACTACGTCTCATTTACTCACCCTGGTGTTGTTCTAATGCCGTATTCCCTTCTTTCTTTTTTGGACCACAATCAGAGAATTTTGTCCTGCTCGCACTCTGTCATACAATAAAAAACATGGCGTGAATCCACTTTTTCTCCCATTCATAAGCTGCATCCAAAAAACTTAAAAATGCTGCTTTCGGAGGATGCAATCCAAGGACGGAAAGCATCAAGGCACGTCCCAATCCAAGCTTCACCTCACGTCTCCTGAGATTCCTTCACCTGAACAATAGATGTTTCCCCTCGCTGCCTTTCATATCCCAAAATCCTGTGTTTTCCATTCTATGACAGTTGAGCTAAAAAAATGGTGTCTGAAAGATGCGGTTGGTATTCAGTTTGTGTGCAAATCACAGTCCCGCCCACAGCCGGTGCCGGAAGTAAGAATTCAATACAATTTCTCCATTGACAGTTGGGGTATAAGCCATAAAAACGTAACCATACATGGTAGACTTAAAACCAGCTACGGCTGTACTAAGCGATTGTATATGCTCATATAAATGCCAAAAGTTCATGGGGCACTAACCTTGTTTTAAGATAAATGCCTTTTATTCGCGATGTCTTGGATAAGTACTTCATTACCCACAATCCTGAACAATCCCACAATCCCACAGTGATGCATCTGATTGGTGGAAGTCGTGTAACAGGCTTTATGCCGAGCGTCACGTGACCAAGCCGGAAAACAGATCACATCGCTTCCGATTCAGGTCTTTTGTATGTGCTTCATGAAATTTTTTGCGGTTTTACTCAAGATAACTTAAAAGGAGCAAGCAAAAATGAGCATAACCAATGTCCCTCGCATGTGCAGATTGATATTTAAAAGTTTTTTAATTTTTCTTCTTCACACTAACGTTTAGATATTTAAATAGCATAAAACACCAATAACAAAGTGAACTTAGTAGGTTATCTGATTACCTTAAAATTCCATAGATATCGTAGTTAGTTCTTACGGCCGTTAACACTTTCTCTGACAAGCGGATGCAATGAGACCTGTTTTCCGGTTTGGTCACGTGACGCTCGGCATAAAGCCTACTGTCTGGTTAAACCCATAGACAGTAAAAGAAATGGACAGAGCGACCCCATTGATTTCAACGGAGAAGACTGAAGCCCGATTATTGCACTTCCTGTCTGAGGCTGAGCGACTGCGCAGGCTCAAACTGAGCGTGACGACAGTCTGGCAGTTGAAAATCTTCTAGTAGCTGTGCCAAGACAAATCTGAATCACCTAATTCCTCAAAAACGTTGTTGAAATATTTTGTCCCATTGCTTTTATAGACTCTCTATTTATGGGCTTCTACCTTGACTTTGTGCCTCCATGTCCTCCTGATTGCCTCATAGACAGTTAAAGATTGCCAGCGAGCTTCTCCTCCTGTCTATACGGTAATGTCTCTATTGTGCGACAGAAAGTCCCGTGGTTATGACGCAATCTTTAGCCTATTTTTAAAAAAACGGCTTCTACGGGGCCGTAACGTAAGATACAAAGTAATGGAACATTTTATACATTGTCGTGTTTCTTTAGAAATAAATAATGGACAAATGAAGTCTTTGGACGCCTCAGATGTAAAGTTATTCGCTGTCAAAGTGGCCCCAAAATGAATGGGAGTCAATGGGATGCTAACAGCAGGTGATGGTCTGCTACAATGGCGGCTCCTGCGAGGCTTCAACTTCCGGCTAATGGATTACCCCCTTGGTTAAACCCCGCGAAGGTCCGTGAAGACTGGAGATCGTGTATGACGTAGGGCTAGTTCATTGGTCGCACGTCAGAGGTGTGTGATGCTCAATGTGTTAGCGGTGCAGCTGCAAATGCGTTTTACATATAAGCTTCAGTAAATCGAGGAAAAGGAGTTTCCCTGCACATTCACTATATAAAGTTCACTGGAGGAGAAGGGTTCACGTGGCTGTCGTCAGATTTGGAAGTCGCTCAAAAAAAAAAGGCTCGGTTGTGGCTTTAGTCGACTTCAGTGAGGCGCGGTGGTTCATGGGATGAGTAGTTCCTTCGCTCGGAAATGAAAATATGTACACAGTCTTGTACCTTTGACTTTTTTTGGATTTTCTCTTCGTTTTTTCACTCGAAATGATATGTTGTATGCTTATGAGTTCAGCCGTAGCTGGTTATCCTCAGACATGCTCTAAAACTCTTTAGATACGGATTTTCCAAAACGTCAATGGGAGAAATGAATGGGAAATTTACTTCCGGCACCAAAGCTCTCTCGGGCTGTGGGCGGGACTGTGATGCTCTAGACCTTATGCACCAGAGAAACAAGCGCGCCGTCATCTTTAGAATATTGTCTTTGAACTTCCGTTTTTGCGGTCGCTCTGTATATTTCTATGGCATCGCTGTCGAGGACGAGTAATTAGCTGGTAAAGTGGATTAACTTATTGTAGAGTTAACGAAAGTTATCATGAGCATTGTAATGTTTATCATAAGCATTGTAAAGCAGATGTCTTAACAAATGTCGACCGGGAATTTTTTTACAAGCCGTTCATTCATACATGCAAGATCGCTGTGAAAATACAGACCGGAAGTCAAAAGACAACGAGCGCAGCGCTGAAAAGGGGCGTGGCTACATAAGGTCTTATAGGGCTTTGATTATGAGGCGTGTCTTAACCGTGTCTTAACCGAACCAGTAAAAAAAAAAAACAACTCTGCACTACACTAATTGGATAGACCTACAACCAATCAGAGCAACACAGGAAGTTACGTAGGCTATGTTCATAGACATAGACATCATATAGGTAGACGCCCTATCGACCGCTACTGCCTATTGGCACGGACGAGAATTGGAGCCGCCATCTTAAACCGGTCATCCGCTCCGCTCAGTGTAATATGAATGGCAGGTGAAATGAGCTGTCAGCGCATTAAATTAATCATATCTCACTGAATACTGAACCGATTTTCACGCGGTTTTTTTTTGCTGCAAAGGTCATTCATGTAGCTATGATACAGGACACATGGTTCGGCGTATTTTAATATCCATAGTAGGCTTAACAGTAATATAATATTCTGATATAAGATATAAAGTGACCAGACACAATATGTGTGATGAAGGATATAATGTATTTTATAAATCACACACTATAAATATAATAAAGAAGCAGAAACAGATAGTTGCAGTAAAATAAGATATTTTAATAAGTTGAAGAAACAATTTATGATTTGTGACACGCACATACACACGAACAGACACACACACACACACACAAACACACACACAAACACACACATAACGCAGCCACCGAATCCACCGAACGCAGCCACCTGTAATAAAAATTGAGAAGAAGCTTTTCAACGTGTTTGCATCAGTAATTTCTAAAAATTAAATTCGGACAACATTAAGCCTATACCTTTTTTATTGTATGTGGATGTGGGAGGGGAAAATGTCGAGACTAAAGCTGTATTCGGATTAACTTTACAAGGGTAGATGGAGTAAGTTAATAATGTAATTTTACCACAGGACTTCTGTAATATCAATAGCCAAATCGCATGTGATAAGATATAGGTTATCAATAAAACTAGAAGTTGGAGGGGTAACTCAATTTGCGCATCGCTGTAATGCTTGTATTTACATTGCTTCCTGATATCATGTGCGTGTAACTGGTCTCCTGTTACATGCGCAAACACAAATAACATACAACAGGGCAGTTGAATGCTTATCTGATAACCTAGAAGCTCTTGTAATTACTACTTTAACAGTTACCCCAACTCTCCATGCCGGGTGAACACCGGCTGATGCAGTAAACAGCATTTCACAACGATTTCAGTACAGTAATAGCAAATATCCTTGCTCCTTATTGATTATCTGGTAATATTCTATTCACAAAATACAACCAATAGTACGGTAATGTTAAGACTTACTTGTGAAAAGCCCTATTTTCGATGGTCCGACGACTAGAACAGGAAAATGCTCCACAATGCTCTGGCATCTTATCTGCTGCCACGCAACGAAACTAGGAATACGACCGGTTCAAGATGGCGGCCGGATTTCTCGGTTTCCAGCGGCCAATAGGGCATCTAGTCTCTATATGATATCTATGTTCATAGATATATACACTAGATGTCACCTTGGCTACGGCAGTTCATTGGAATGAATGCGTCAATAGAGCCGCCATCATGGAACAGGAGCGCATCAGCGTCAATGTAGAAAAAGGTCTAACGGAAATAAAATCACCATAAATCATCATGAATGCGATTTTCTAGCTTTTTTGGTTCGTTACAATGGTTAGACATGTATTTATCATTGAGTCCAGAGAAATATTTTTTTTAACAAAATTTCACATTCTTGTGAAATGTAATCCCTTGCTGTCTGGTTTTTAGATTTTGTTCGTGTGAACATTCATACGCAGCATAAAAGTCTGGCACTGTTACCGCTACTTCCTATGAAAAGACGCCTGTTTCAAGATGGCGGCGGTTTTGACGCATGCTTAGAACTCCAAGGTGACATATGATCTAGTCTAGTGTATATATATCTATGGGCTATGTTGAGCGACGCATTATTGTCAACAGAACTCAACTGCAGGCACTCTGGAAAAAGTATTTAAAAAATAAGTGTTAACAATCTTTGCCGGTGTTGCAAAAAGAATTTAAGGATTCGAGGAGTACTTGCAAACACGAAAAGCATTTTTGGAAGAAATACGTTTGATGGCGTGATGATTACGTAACTGCAGATCATCTGTCCATCATCGTATAAAGCCCGCCCTGGCAATTTGATTGACCCGACGATTTCTGAACTGATCATAATTACCATAGACATCATATAGAGCTAGACGCCCTATTGGCCGCTGTGGCGCAAGAAATGCGGCCGCCATCTTAAACCGGTCATACTCCTATTTGTACTGCATAGCAGCAGTATGCCAGAGCACTGTGCAGCATATTCAACGTGTCCTGTATCGTAGCTACATGTATGACCTTTGCAGCAAAAAACCCCGCGTGAAAATCAGTTCGGTATTCAGTGAGATATGATTAATTAAATGCGCTGACAGCTCATTGCACCTGCCAAACAGATTACACTGAGCGGAGCGGGTGACCGGTCTAAGATGGCGGTCCCACGGCTCGTCCGCGCCAGTAGGCAGTAGCGGTCGATAGGGCGTCTATCGATGTCTATGATAATTACTCCTCTAATGTGATTCTCATTAGTTTTGAATAGAAATATTAAGTGAATTTTTATTTTATTTTATAAAATATATTTCTTTGCATAACTTTTAATTTAAAACATTTACTTTTAATAGAGGGAATGCATTAACGTTAGCCTGGTTAAAACCAGACCATTCTCAGTTGTAACTGAGTTATGGTCTGGCAAAGCGTCATAGACAAATCATTTCCAGAGGGGCGTCACCAATGGACGTCGCGGATAGACCTAAACCCAATCAGAGCGATGAAGGAGATGACGTATGCAGAGCGGCGGAGAAACATCTCCGAGTGTTGTTCTTTGCTCGGTTTTTAACTAAAAGGAAACGTTCACATCGCTTAAAACAGACGCGATAGCTGATTCAAACGAGTGATGTTCGACGGCGGCATCCATCTTTGTAATGTAGGCTACAAAATCTGCTTCAAAATCCCAGCGCTGTCGTCATCGTGTAAAGCCCGCCCCAACGCTTCTGATTGGTGCCGCGATTTCGGCGGATTGGAAATGGGCTTGAATGAGCTCTTTGCCAGACTAACTTTCAGAGCAAATCTAAATTTGCCGGAAGTTGTCTGGGTTTTCCCAGGCTACATTAACGTCACTTTCCTGCCGGAACACGCCCCCCCGCCCTCAGCCGGACTGAGTGGCAAAAAAGCTGCTACGTGAAGGGAGTTAATAGGGGAAACTGCGAAAACGCGAGTAAAACAAACTATTATCAGTTTAAACTAAAAGATGGACTCGATATAGTGTTCCTTACAACTTATCAAAGATCCAGTGATCCATGGATATTGACATGCAGCCAGGAATCGTGTTTCCTGACATTTATATGTGCCTGATTTCGACGCCGGGGAAATAAATTAAGAAAATTTGCCTGTAAACGTTATATATAAATACAATATAGATAGGTCTAAATCCGAGTGATCACTTACATTAATGTTATACTGTATATCATCATATCGCCGTCCAGCCCTAAAACTTGTATAGTTTTTTTGTCAGTGTTTATTTAAAAACATCCAATTATGCAGATTATAGTCTGTTCTGTAGCTTTTTGCAGTCTGTAAAAATATACAGTACCTCAGATTTCTGGTCAAATCTAGTTGTACAGTCAATCGCAAAGCTCTTTCCCGTTTTAGATGTGTTTTGTGTGTTTTTCACGGCATTCACGCTGAAAACAAATGCTGCCGCTTATGCCGAGTTCAGACTGCACGATTTTCAAAATAATCGGGTCACTGTTGTTTTCACACTGCATGACTATCTGGGGTAACATTCAGTTGCTGCTGTGTTCACACTGCACGAAGGATCGGCGACAGGAGGTTTCACACTGCATGACTTTACAAAAGAAAGAATCGAATCACCGACAACTTCTGCCTGGTCCGCAAACTACGTTTCACAACCAAACAAACGCGAGAATTGAATTGAATTGAAATATCTTTAATGTCCCCTAGGGGCAATTTAGTTCACAGCTGATAGCCAACATATACACATTCACACACAAACAGATAAAAACATGAGATAATAAATAGATAAAAACATAAGAACATATACCTATAGATTGTTGAGAAACCCAACAGCTAATGGTACAAATGATTTTAAACATCTGTTGGATCTGGCGCGTTTTCGGTAGGTATACCTCCTTCCTGATGGTAGGAGGCAGAACTCAAAGTGTAGTGGGTGACTGTTAGCTAAAATGGCCATTGTCCTCTGTGTAGCTCTGGCCTTGTACATGCTCAATGCTGTTCAGATCAGTACCAATTATCTTTCGACATATGCTTACAGTTTTTCCCAATCTGTTTTTGTTAATTACACTCAAATTTCCAAACCAGCAGATCATAGCAAAGGTTAAAATTGACTCAACAAAAGATGAATAAAAAGCTTTCAGAAGGGTTCTATCAACGTTAAACCCATTCAACTTTCTTAAAAAGAAAAGTCTCTGATTAGCTTTTTTGCATATATAGTCTGTATTGGTATCGAAGTTCAATTTATCATCTAAAATGGTGCCCAAATACTTGTATTGTCTTACCACATCTAACTCTATACCATTAATCAAAGTTGAAGCTGTGGTTGGAGGATTATGGCGAAAGTCAATACACATATCTTTGGTTTTAGAAACATTGAGTTGGAGATATGAGTCCTTGCACCATGAGACAAAATGGTCCAACACTGGTCCATGGCCCTCCTCGTGATCCTGCAGAAGACTAATTATCACAGAATCATCAGCATACTTAATGAAATGCCTTGATTCAACCGTACTCCGACAGTCATTGGTGTAGAGCACAAATAAAAGTGGTGACAGAACACACCCTTGAGGTGACCCTGTTGAACCTATGAGGGCCTTAAATAAAGTGTTATTTACCCGGGTCCTCTGTGACCTCATAGTTAGGAAATCAACCAGCCAGCATATTGTACCAGGGTCAATATTAGGAAATTGCAATAGTCTCTGAGCAAGAATATGGGGCTGTAGAGGTCTTCTCGGGTCCTAAAAACTGTACCCGACCCGAATCACTACTTACCCGAACCCGACGTGCATAAATTATTTTTTTTTAAAGAAAAACCCGACCCGAGACAGACCCGATAAAATTAGACCCGAGTCCGACCCGACCTGACGCCATTTCCTTTAGAACCCGACTGGACCCGAACGTAAACGGCATTTACATTGTGCACAGCCTGCAGCCCTGCGTTTCTTCACTTAATAACATAGACGCGCAAGTGTAAGCGCGCTGAAGTGCTAAAATGTCAATCACACATCACTGTAACCCATTACGTCCTATAAAATTTGGCATAATGTTATTTACCGGACCATACGATGATTAGAACCACCATTCGTTTTCCCTGACATTTTTCGCAATTTCTGTTATCGCCTCCATGCTTTTCTGACAGTGTCGCGTATTTTTAAAATTGATTGACAGGCCTGGCTAAACGACAATTCAAATACTTGCATTTAGTCAAACATCCATCCACATGATGGCGCACTAGTTCTTCTTGGCAAAGGGAGGGGTTGGTTTATGTGGAGCGAGCGGCTGAGTAAATAAATGCGGAGGCAACCGTGCTTATGCTTATAGCCCATTTGCACGTTAAGCGCGGATTCGCTCTCTCACTTAGAAAAAGTGAGAGAACGGTGTCATAGAGTTGTTTTAAATACTGCAATTTTCTTAAATGCCCAACATAGTTTAAAAGATTTCGGGTCTTCTCGGGTCCATTTGGAAAAGGCATATTTATTTTAAATTACCCGAGACCCGAGGCCACTAATACCGAACCCGACCCGTGTCCGAGACACTCGTCGGAGTTTTGGACCCGAACCCGCTCGGGTCTCGGGTCGGACCTCGGGTTTTCGGATCCAAGTGGACCCGTGAAGACCTCTAGGCTGCATACAGTTGAACGCAGATAAAAAATCAACAAAACACAAGCGTACATGTGTCTTCTTGCCCTCTAAATGTAATAAAGTCCAGCAGTGTTGCTGTGGCATCCTCAACCCCCTTACTTGGTAGATATGCAAACTGCAATGGATCAATCATGCTCTGAGTCATACAAAGCAGACTCCTCCTCACAATACGCTCAAAACCCTTCATCACCAAAGATGTCAGAGCCACAGGACGACAGTCATTCAGCACCTTTGGAGAGGGGACTTTTGCCACTGGAACCACTACTGATTCTTTCCACATCCCTGGGACTTTCCTTTCTGATAAGTGAAGTGATAGGAAATAACGGAAGATCACGCGTGCGTGAGACCGGAGTTCTCGCGCGACACTGAATTTGTTATTAAAAATGATAGCCTACAAATTGTCTGTGCACTGATTTGTAGCGAAAATGGAAAAAAATAATAAACAGTTTATGCAGGAAATGGTTGGGAAGACGAGGGGAGCAAGGACTGTGTTTTGCAAAGAGAGTTGGGGGTAAATAAATAATTTTGCAAATG